AGGCACCTGCTTATCAGGCATACAGTGGGGTGGGTTTCTTAATGTAGAGGGCTTCTTGCACGCTTTTCCCAGGTGCTGGAGGTCTGCTCCCTTGCTCTCCCCCTTCATCCACTGCACCGCCTGTGGTAGCAGATGCCTGCGCAACTTGGGGGCTCCTGGCATAGGGGGAGACTTGTAAAATTCAATACGGCCACAGGCTCTTGTAACTCTCTCGCAGATTTTTTCTGCTGTTTTCTTGGGGATGAAAAGCGAGGAAGGAGGGAGTTACATACCTAGAGTGCTGAGACCTGGCATGCACCACCTCCTGGACACAGATGTTGGCAGCTGTCTGGAGGACTGGAGCTCTTCTCTTTTGCTGTGGATATTAATCAAATTCTAATGCCGCTCTTTAGATTGTTTAGGGTAAGCTTTGAGAATCAGACCTTGGTACTGGGGATGGCAAGAAGAAGAGGACGTTCATCTTTACTCTTGCTGTGTGGCTGGCAAAATATATGCAAGAATGAACTGGCATAGCTGCCTCACAGGTTTCTGTTGCTGAGTGTGCCCAGGCGAGGACAAAAATGTGCAGAATAGTGTGTTGTAAATAAAAAAAATCAAGCAAGTGCCTACAATATACGTTCTGTGAATGCGTGTGTATGTGTGTGTCTTGTGAACCTGCAGTTTTCCTTATTATTGTGCCATTTTGGAGGGGTTTTATCATCTTGCTGTCATACATAATTTTCATTATAAATATCTGTTATACATGGAGAAACCCGAGAGCAACAACTCTAAACAAAGCTTCTGTGTAAGGAAAGCCACCATGTTCTTAACTTGAGATGGAGACAGGCCAGATTTATGAGTAAGGGCAATATATTTCGTTGGACCAACCGATACATTAGGAAAAAACAAACCAGCTCTTGACCGCACATTCTTCTCCGTGTCTCCAATGGTCTTAGACATTCATGACTACAATAGCACTACTTAAATTTTTTAAACATAAATTTTGTTTATATAAATTAGCAGCTTTGAGTAACAAATGAGGTCCCCTGCAGAGGTAGGCTATGGTATCATGTACACATCCCTGTCTGGTCTCAGAGATGATGAGAGATTTAGGACAGGAATATGTTAAAGAAGGTGAATGGTTACCTTTCTTCTACTCTTAACGGTGCAGCTTCGCTCATATGAGCTTCATTAACTCTTCAGTCATAAGAAGTCTAAGTTTTATTTCCATAAGAGGAGTTTTGGGGGGTTCTCTTAGCTCTTTGCTTGATGTAAACCACCAGTGCACACCAACCACGCTCACACTTGAGCATTAGGTGTTGCCTAATCAATTCTTTTAGCTTGAATGAAATCACAGTGTACTTACAGGCTTGTCTTCCCTTCAGGTTGCCTATAAAGGGAATTTACAGTATCGTGAGCTTGAGCAGCCTGTTTCAGTATTTTAAACTAGTGTTTTCTCAGCCTCTTGGACATGTTTAGCTATATAGACTTAAAGTGAAAGTGGTTTTAACCAGCTGAACCCAGAAGTGTGAACAAATTCTCGGTATTTGAGGCTATTCCAGAACTGAAACCTTAATATAAAATACTATAAGAATGGACATAATAGAAAAAGTAAGCAAGAAAATTCAAAGCTTTTAGGTTTCTTTCCGTGTCTTCCATTCATAACAATATTTAAATAGAACAAAAATGCGCGAGTCCAGACTTTTTTTTTTTCTTTTTCTTTCTTTCTTTCCATTTTGCAAGTCAACTTTAATAAATATGTAGGAAAAGCTGGAGGGGAGGAGGCGACCTGACTGAGCACCAGCTTTTCTCCGAGGTCTCATATTGCAGAGCACTAAGTAAAGTGAGGGCTAGCAGGACTCTCCAGTGTTATTGGACGTTGCTAGTCTAATTTCTCTGGAAATGTACTTCCCAAACAGTCCCAGCTGTCTCAGGAATGCAGTTTAACCATTGTTGTTCATAGTTCTTGATTGGAAAGAATTAAAAAAATGTCATTCTGACCAAAGATTTATGCACTGAGATTACAATGATTGAATACCAGGAGTTAGGTGCTCTCTCACTTGGGTTAGACTCTCCTTTTTTTCTAAGCAGAATGACACAGTACTATATTTTATTTTGTGCTAAAAAAAAAAGAAAAAAAAAAGAAAAAATTGCTATTGTAATAACAACATTTGCGTCGCAGATGATAATTTTTTTTGCTGGTTGCTGTTGAAAACAGCTGACAGAAAAGCTCAAGGATGTGGAACTCTAGGGAAGATGAGGCTTAGAGAATAGATGCTGTATCTGGTCTCCTATTTTACTGTCTCAGAAGGATACAATTTCTGACTATTTCTCTAATTATAATAGAGAGATTTCAGTCTGTGTTTCAATCTAATTTTGAGAGTTCCTAGCAGTAAGTTTCTTTTACTGCCATCATTTGTCACTGCACTAATGCACTGATGGTGCCTGACTTCAGATCCTGATTAGAACTGATGCACAGTACAGACTTGTAGAGCTAATAACTTCTGAAACCATACCACAGACTTGGGTACCTAGATGGAAGAAATAAGACAATTTTTTTTTTTTTCAGGCAACACTGTCTTAGCATAACTGTTTTGGAGTCCTCTAGTTAGTTGCTGTTGAGACTTAAAGCTCCCTTCCAAGCAGAAGAATTAATGTGCCTCTCAGCACCTCTTACCTACTATGGTTGATTGCTTAGAGTGTGCCAAAAAGTTCTGTGCTCACATGAAAAATGCTAAGGTTTTTGTTTGTGTAAGTTGCTACAACTCCCATGCCTTGAAATATGTCAACAGTCTTAATTTGATCATTAGTCTATATAAGTATGAAAGTTGTGGCACGCAAAAGGCTTTTTCCCTAGGATAACCATATGTGTCCCTACATTTATGTCTGGGTTGGATGGATTAATATGTACATTATTTCAAGGGGGAAGCATCGTCATGCCCTAGGTGCTGCTGCAGTGTTTCCCCTGGCTGTCCCAGGGCTACCGGATGCACAGCACAGGGTGCCAGTGGGGAGTTTCTCTACCCAAGTTCTTCTCCCCAAGGCAGCCGCAGTCCCAAACGGGCTATTACAGACAGCGAGAGCAAAGGTCTTTACAGGTGGGGGCTAAGCCTCACACAGCCGCTGCCCCCACCCAGTGGGATGGGGGAGAGAATTGGAAGGGTAAAAGTGCAAAAAATCATGGGTTGAGATAAAGGCAATTTAATAGGTAGTGCAAAAGCTGCGAGCGCAAGCAAAGCAAAACAAGGAATTAATTCATTACTTCCTCCAGGAAAGCAGGGCTTCATCACAC